ATGTCCCTGCCATGATCTTCAGGGACCACTAAGCAAGTACAACAGATAGACTGTAAAATGGCTAGTTCAGCAATGTACCAAAAAAATTTAATTGCAGGTACGCACCTAATCACACTTGTTAAATTAAATAGCATATCAAAACCAGGGACAATACAACACCCAAGACAGAGACAGAATGGCAACAGATCAGCAATGATTTACACAATGGATGCTTAGGCCAACACCTGCCATTCATATTAATAAGTCGACTTCTTTAAATGTTACTATTAAAATTTCATAAGGCTTCTACAACAGTGATACATAAGCAATAAACACCTAAGATAGGAAGGTATGGAACAGAAGTAATCCTCTAGGGAGCTGAACACCAGTCAACCAAAGTGAAGACAGACTGTCCATAGAGTCTAAACACCCAGTGAGCACTATTGTGGTGCTACAAGAATTAGTACAGAACTGAAGTTTGGTTAAGAAACAAAATCTGTACCAGTGAAATACATAAGTTTATCAGCAGCCAGTTTCAAACAATATGAATCAAGCAGACCAAATCAAAAAGAATGAGGAACAGCTTGGAGAATTAGTTGGGTAAATGGTCAATACAAACAGAGAGGCAATGAAGCTGCAAGAGGCTGAAAGGTTTTTGCTCTCAATGAGGACAGAACAAATAAGACTATAATAATAAAGATACTTCGAGATAAGTTGATCTTGATTTGTTATTTCCTGGGAAATGAGCACTACTGGTAAGTCAACATTTAATGCTCAAGACTATTGCTTCCTAGGTGCTGGTTGTGAGGTGCCACCTTTTACCACTGCAGTCCATCTCATGCAGGTTTACACAGTACCATTAGGAGGATTTTGACTAAACAGCAAAAGGACATTATTTCTAAACGAGGATGGTTTTCACATTGGAGGGAGACTGGCAAGTGCTGCTACTGTTCTCTTAGGAATATGAAGTTGCTGTTGAAGGAGGCTTGACTAATTGGTGCAGACCATCTTGTAGAGGTACACACAGTTGCCACAGTGCATAGAGGAGGGGGGAATAAATAGGTTGATTGATGGTTGAAGTGCCAAATGAGCAGCAGCTTTATTCTGGATGGAGCTGCACTCATCCAAGCAAACGGAGAGCATTTCATTAGATTCCTGACTTCTGCCTTGTATTATGGACCAGACGAAACCCCCTTAAAATATATTCAGAAGATAGCCTAGACTCCTTACGTTTAAGAGCAAAAATATAAGGCAGTGTGTTCCGGATGCAACTCGATTGATAAAATTACCAGGCTTGAAGGAAAACACACATCGTCTTACACTATAGTTAAAATACAAACAAAAGGAGGAAGAATTGGAATAACAACTCTATTGGAAAACTTAATATGATAATTATTTAACTATTAAACAGCGACTGTTCCAATATGTGACATCCCGTTGGCAAAGGCAAATTCAGTAAAATAGAGATTGTCTCACATGCAATTGTAGCAGCAGGAAGAAAACCCAAGCTTTTAGCTGTAACAGAGAGACGATTAACAGCTTCAAGACCCCAGCAACTACTGTATGTTAAAAACTAAAATCCTCATTCTGTCTGAGCTTGACCCCATCCCTTCATGCTGCTTCTATTGTTCCAAAACATTCAAAAAAAAACAAAGCTAGCTGTGCTCAGAGCAGACAGCTCTTCTCCAAGTTTACAACACTTGCTTTTAAAGAGAAATAGACAGAACAAATCCTTCTTAAATGGGACATCTAGCACTTGTAGATTGTGGACAAGCTTTGGGGAATCAGGAGGGGAGTTACTCATTACAGAATTCCTAGACTCTGAGCTGTTCCAATAGCCACAGCATTTAGATGGCTGGTTCAATTACCTTTCTGGTCACTGGGGTTGTCAGGTTACTGACACTAAGAAAGGTAATCAATAGCAATATCTTTGAATGCCAAAGACAGAACATTAGATTCTCCAGATGGTCATTATCTGGCATTTTGAGTGGCAAGAAACATTCACAACACATATGAACCTAAGCTTGAATACTGTCCAGGTCTTGCTCCATGAAGGTAGAAAATATCTTTATGATTTGAAACATTACTGAAAACTCTTCAAGAATGTCTTTTCAGTAGAATAAAGATCATTGATGAAGCAGCTGATTGGGGCAGGCGCATTATCCCACACAAATCCGAGTAATGTCCACTTGATTGGTCTTCAAAGAACCTCAACCACCCTCTTTAATGCTTGCTCTCCAGAGAATTTTCCCTGTCTCATTTCCATTGACATCAATTTTTGCTATGGTTTGTATTGCCATCCTCAATTGAGACTACACCCAATAAAACATTGCCTTGAATTCATTTCATCATTTCACTTCACGAATTCAGCTCTTTTATCAAGTTAGAACATAGCTGTAATAAGTTCTGGAACAGATTGTTGGTGAGCCAACAACCATTGTTCAATAGGTGCTACTTGGATCGCACTGACAAGGACACCTTCTTTAGTTGGCTGATCATGGAGCCAACCAATGGGTGAATAGTTGACTGAATTAGATTTGTCCTGATTAATATGTATTGGACACATACGCAGTACTGAAAAATTTTAAATTGATTACGATTGTGGGATCTCTGCTTTACTGCATGCTGTTTCTGGTGTTTAGCACAGATGTCACATTTTTCAGTATGCTTGTTGTTACTCCTCATATTCTTCTGCATTCCTCATTGAGCCAGTGTAGATCCCTATTTAAACATCCCTCAGGATAATGCCAAGGCCACACATTGTATCCTTTTTTGGAAGGGACATAGCCCATGTCCACAAATTCACTTCAGATATTTTAAATCAACTTGTTCAAAAATGTTATAACACATCTCCAGAGCAGGTGGGACTCTAACCTGGGTATACTTGCTCAGAGGGAGGGAACAAATTCACCTCAATCTGCCATTGACAATAACAATCTGACAATTCACAATTGCTTTCAGCCATTCCTCATCAGCTACTCTAATTATAATTTTCCACCTTAAAAATTAGCTTCCAGTCTTCAGTCACCTATTCTCTATGACCATCTTAAACCTCCTATAGACAATGTGAAGAAGGAGAATTAAAGTTCATCTTCAGTCAGTTTTAGATTTATTCCCGAAGTGAAATGTTACGAGTGTATCGCTCAAGCCCTACAATCACTGCACCAGTATCAATATGCACTTTATAATCTGGAGTATAAACAAAAACTAATTATTGGTGAACCACCTTTTTACAGGAACACTTCTAAATGGTAATGCAGCATCATTTCAGAGTTTTCTAGAAAGTAATGTAAGTTTCACCAGCTGAAGAAAAGATTTTTATGACTGGAAACCTGAGATACACGTTGGGATTTTCATTGATGAACTCACTAAAGTGAGAATCATAGCCACACACCAGTGAGCTGGAGACAGTAAAAGTGCACATCCCCACACCTGTAGACACAGCCTCAATTTATTCATTTAACACTTTGTAGGAAGTCTGTTGGCAGGGAAAGATTTGAAGAATAATTAGCTATACATTTAAAGATTCACAGTCAACAGGCAATTGAGCTTTGGGAATTGGACAAACCCTACAAAGACTATAGAAGGACTCTGGAGGTACAGAGGTAGGGTCCCTACTTCTAGACCAAAAGGCCCAGGTTCAAAGTCCCACCTGTTCCAAAGATGCAAAACAACACCTCTGAACAGCCCGATTAGAAAATATCTACAGATTATGTCATCTTATTTCCATATTAGTTACAATTTTGACAGCAAAACTGTCAAAGGGATGTCAGTGCCATAGATACACACCTGTTGTGGTGCTGCCACTTGCTGTACCACAGCAGCTTGCACAGATGGCGGACCGGCAGCGGATGTCCGCAGGGTAACAGTCGATGCCGAGTCGGATGTACCCTCTGAACTCTGCATGCTCGTTTCTATGGAAAGACAAACAAGCCATTAGCTGGAGTAACTGCAAATGTTGTAACACACTGTCCATGGAGAACAGTACTGCAAAGATCTATGTTATTTATGGTCCAGAAACTGGTTCTGTACAATAAAACATTTAAAAAACTGCTTCTTTCACTATTTAAATTTTTGATGTTTCAGGAGTCAAAATTTTGATTATAAAGCTTTCAAATAAAAGCAGCTCATTTATTTTTCACAACCTTCATACTATAACAAAGTGTTTCACAGTCAATAACAGGCTTTTGGAGTGTAGTCACCATAGTAATGTTCCTTGGCATGCAATTAGCAGGAAAAAGTGCCACAAACAGCAGTGAGAGAAATGATCGAGTCATCTGCTTGCTGTGTTGGTTGAGGGATAAGTATTGACTGGTACACTGTGAAGTACCCTACTGCGCTTGGTCCAAATGGTGCCATGCAATGAGAAACATTCCCATTGGTGCAATCAAGTGGCCGTATTAAGCTTTGCTGGGGTATCATGCTGAAAAATCAAGCCCCACTATTCCCAAAGCCACTGAAGTTAAAGATTTTAAATAGTAAGCAGAATTTGGCAATTTTCCTGATTTTGACATCAAGCATGCACCAGATTCATGAACTTAACAGAAATTACTATTTATTGCAAATGGATAGATTCTAACTACAGCTAAATAATTTCAAATCGTCAACACATAAGTTATAAGAGGACAGACCAGACAAAGTAAGAAAATGATGTTGTGAGCAGAGGGAAAGGCAGTTCAGTGGTCCCTGTCTACAGGTTTGCTGATATGATCTTGCTGCTAATCAGAACGCAGCATCTCTATCTTCCTTCTCCAGCTTTTTTCACTTATTTGCAGGAGGCACAGGATAGCTACCTCATACTTATTGAAGTCTTTGACTCATTGATTAAGTCACGGCTTACAGCAACTGTGAGTAAAAATAAACTGCTACCTTCTAGTCTAAATGCTTTTAAAATCTGCAGAGAAACAAAATAGGTCCATCCCTTCCAAAGGTCTGATGGCTCCTACCCGAAACATTCATACCCACAAGCTGTTCAGTAACCTGGGGCTATTTACATAATTGTTGGCAGGCAGAGGCCTTGATCATCGATAACTGGTCATCATATCACTGACCAACATACTATTTGCCATCAGCCAAATCTCCATTTGTGTAAAACCCCCTGGTTCCAGGTCAACTGTAACTAAGTTTTCCCCACTGCTTGAATCAACAGCTCTGTAAATAGTAGGTACAACTGCTGGCAAGTAACTTGCTTTTAACAAGTACAATAATCCTTTAACAATTCTTTGCTTTTTAAAATTATTCTTTCCCATTTTAGTCTGCAAACAAAAAAATACAGAAAAACAAGATAAGATGTTTACAGCAGCAACTATGCAGCAATTACCTGCTCGTTGACACTCAGTTTGGGTTCCGCCAGGGCACCTGACCTCATCCAGCTTTTGTCCAATCATGGATAACATAGCTGAACTAATAACAGCAAAGCGGAGTGCGACCAGGCATACCATAAAGACAGGATTTGAAACAATACAACAAATAGCCAGAGAAAAATTGGAGTCACTGGTAATTGGGCTAACTCTCCTCTGGTCAGAATCAAATCAGGCATACAAGGAAGTTGGCTGTTGGAGGTCAATCAGTTCAGTTCAAGGACATTGCTGCAGGAGTTTCTCAGGGTAGTATTCAAAGCCCATCTACAATATCAACTTCTTCAATTTACCTCCTGTTCAGAAGGTTTTGAAGGATTGGCTGGAATCAGTATGTGGGTGAAGACAAGGAGTTCCACTATTGCTGCTTATGAAGGGAGCAAGTCCCTTGGGTCTTAATAATTATGCCAGACAAAAATTAGTTGTAGTTATTGTGATGAGGCAAACCTTAGTGTTATTTCATAAAAGTATTTCTGCAATTATTTTACGGTGGTGAATCTTCTATAACCATCACAAGGTAAGACCAAACAAAGCAAAAAGACAAAGCAGGATTGATGGCAGTGAACTAGCACAAAGAACTCTTATCAAGTATACAAGGAGAAAGAATCCACAAGTTCCAGAGGGGGAAAAGAAACCTTTAAGCAAGGGAATTTACCACTTCAAGAGCATTAATGTTAAGACAGTCATATCTCTGCTGACTGTTTAAGACTGAGGGAAGGGAGATAGAGTGTGCTGGAGGGCAGCGAGGGGGAAAGAGCAAGAGACGGTAACTGCTTTGAAAGCAGAAAAACAAAAAGCTCAGCACTGCAAAGGGTAAAACTTCATTCAGAAAGATGATAGTTAGAAGCACTGGGTCAAGTGTGTGCTAGGAGAGAAAAGTCACATGTTGAAAAGAGGCCCTTATGAAGGAGGTTGTAGAAGAAGCAACCAAAAGGCCACAGGCAATCAAATTCAATATTCCAACGAAAAACGGCACCAAGACCAGAAGGGGAAAGATAAGGAAAGTGAACTAGCCCTCTCCTCTTACAAAAAGCATCATTGTTATCAACATGAGACTACAGGTGGTGCAGCTGCAAGAAACAGTGAAAGAAATTTAGACTGAGGCTACAGGTTTGGGAAGACCTCAATTCAATCTGAAAACCAAGTACCGTTTAATGAATTCTAGTGGAAGAGTGTAGAGTGACAGATTGCAGGGTAGCTAATGTAATGCCACCATTTAAAAAGGGACTAGAAGAAAATAGGGAATTAGAGACCAGTGAGTCTGATGTCAGTAATAGCAAGATGCTGTGATAGGGTCCATTAGTAAGAATTTTATAGCAGAGCACTTAGGAAACAATGGCAGAATCAGACAGTCTCCCCTCTGCAAACCCATGCTGATTATGCTTGGCAAATCTACTGGAAGTCAAGAATATAATTAGTAGGGTTGATCAGGGTGTCCAGTGGATGCGGTTAATTTGGACTTTCAGAAGGCTTTCAAAATCCTATATAAAAAGTCATGGTGCTGTACAGCATGCAAACATACCATTTGGTCCAACTCGTCTATGCCAACTTGTTATAAATTAATCGAGTCTCGTTTGCCAACATTTGGCCTATACACCTCTTAAACCCTTCCTATTCATATACCCATCCGGATGCCTTTTAAATGTTGTAACTGTACCAGCCTCCACCACTTCCTCTGGCAACTCATTCCACATACGTACCACCCTCTGCATGAAAAAGTTGCCCCTCCGGTCCCTTTTAAATCTTTCCCTTCTCACCTTAAACCTATGTCCTCCAGTTTTGGACTCCACCACTCCTGGGGAAAAGACCTAGGCTATTCATCCTATCCATGCCCCTCGATTTTATAAATCTCTGTAAGGCCACTCCTCAACCTCCAACACTCCAGGGAAAATAGCCCCAGTCTATTCAGCCTGTTGCTGTAGCTCAAACCCTCCAACCCAAGCAACATCCTTTTAAATCTTTTCTGAACCCTTTCAAAGTTCACAACATCCTTCATACAGCAGAGAGACCAGAATTGCACGTAGTATTCCAATAGTGGCCTACCCAATGTCCTGTACAGGTGCAACATGACCTCCCAACTCCTATACTCAATGCACTGACCAATAAAGGCAAGCACACCAAATACCTTCTTCACTACATTGTCTTCCTGCGACTCCACTTTCAAGGAATTATGCACCCGCACTCCAAGGTTTCATTATTCAGCAACACATCCCAGGATCTTACCATTAAGTGTATAAGTCCTACCCTGATTTGCCTTGCCAAAATGCAGCATCTCTTACTTACCTAAATTAAACTTCATCTGACACCCCTCAGCCCATCAGATCAAGGTCCCCTTGTGTTCAGAGGTAACCTTCTTCGCTGTCGACTTCCACCAACTTTGTCTTCCCACCAACTTTGGTGTCATCTGCAAACTTACTAACTATACCTCTGATATTCACATAAAAATCATTCTATACAAGTGACAAAGAGCAGTGGACCCACCATCCTTGTGACAAACCACTGGTCACAGGCCTCCACCATCACCCTCTGTCTCCACACTCTATATAATAAAGAGATTAATGTGCAAAAAGTAAACAGCATGGACTTGGGGGTGGTGTATGGAGATGAATAGAAATTTGTTAGCAGACAGGAAACAGGGTAGGAATGAATGGGCCTTTTTCTGAATGGTAGGCAGTGACAAGTGGGGTACCACAGGGATTGGTGAATAGCCCAGCTATAGACAGCATGCGTTAATGATTTAGATGCGGGAACTAATTGTAATATTGCCAAATTTGCAGATGACACGCAGTTAGATGGAAGGGTGAGGTGTTAGGAGGATGCAGATATGTTGCAGTGTGATTTGGGCAGGCTGAGTGGATGGGCAAAAGCATGGCAGATGCACTTTGATAGCAACAATAGGAAAGCAGATTATTATTTGCATGGCAGTAAATTGAGAGGGGTGAAACGGTCAATGAGACCTGGGTGTCCTCATACACCAGTTGCTGAAATTAAGTATGCACAGCAAGTAGTAAAGAAAGTAAATTGTTATTTTGACCTTCATAGCGAAAGGATTCGAGTACAGGAACAAAGATGTCTTACTACAATTACACAGGACATTGGTGAGATCACACATGGAATATCATTTACAGCTTCAGTCTCCTTATCGGAGGAAGGATGTTATTGCTATAGACGGAGTGCGCTAAAGGTTTACCAAATTCATTCCTGTGTTGTCAGGACTGATGTATTTGGACAGATTGAGACAGTTAAGATTGTATTCACTGGGGTTTAGAAAAATAAGGGGAATCTCATGTTCGAATTTTATAGGTTTCCATATATTAGATGCAGGAAGGTTGTTCCCAATGGTGGGGGAAATCCAGAACTGGGGAACATGGTTCAAGGATAAGGGGTAAACCTTTTAGGACTGAGACAAGGAGAACGGTCCTTACCAAAAGAGTGGTCAGCCTGGGGAAATCACAGATATGGTTGAGGCCCAAACATTGTGTTTTCATGAAGGAGATAGATATATATCTTGTGGCTAAAGGGATCAAGGGATATGGTGGAAGTGGGATTACTCAGCTCAATGATCAGCCATGATTATATTGAATGGCAGAGCAGGCTTGAGAGGTTGAATGACCTACTCCTGCTCCTGTGTTTCTAGGTTTATGAATTAGATTTGAGAGAACCGGAATGAAGCCGATTTCAGCAGATGGATTGATAAATGCCGCAAGCACAGGATTTAAACAAATCGAAGAAAATATTTGAGGTTTAAAACTGAAAAGGTGGGAAAGTGTTCATTTTGCCCATAAGTAGTAAGAAAACTCCATCTTTGTTGCAGGTGATGAACCATCATTGCGACTGATGAAAAAGTGGCAAAACCCAATGAGTAGTACGGAGAAAGCCTAGTGCAAAGAAACAAATTTAAAAGGCTTGAAAAGCAGTGAAATTACTACAGAACATAGTGCATTTCAATTTGAACTTTTATTGAATAATTTTAGTCACACAGTAACAGAATTAAAAAACACTGACAAATGAAGGGAGAGCTTCAGAGTCTAGCAAGCATGACAGTCAAATGTAAAGCAATAATGGAATGGTACAGATTTAAAATACCTTTGCAATATTAAGACTCATCAACACATTGAGAAATTAACAAAGACATAATATCCTTTCAGATTCAAGGTCAGAGGAGAACCATACACAACCCAAGGTTAGACATCATGGAGGCGAGAGTTAACATACAGTACTTCCTCAAAATGAAACACCAAGACTAGAGGGCATCCATTTAAGCTAAGAAGTTCAAAGGAGACAGAACATAGAACAGACCAGTACAGCACAGGAATAGGTCTTGCGGCCCAAGGTATTTTGCCAAACATGATGCCAAATTAAACTAATCCCTCCTACCTACCTTTGGTCCATATTCCTCCATTCCTTGCATTCCTTATCTAAAAGCCCCTTAAATGCCCCTATCGAATCTGCCTCCACCACCACCACCCCGAGCAGCATATTCCAGATTCCTATCACTGTAAACTTGCCCTTCACATCTCCTTTGAACTTTCCCCCTCTCACCTTAAATGCATGCCCCCTAGTATTAGACATTTCAACTCTTGGGGAAAAAAGATTCTGACTATCAACCCTATCTATGCATGTCACAATTTTATAGACTTCTATTAAGTCTCCCCTCAGCCTCTGCTGCTCCAGAGAAAAAACACCTGAGCTTTTTTAGCCTCTTCTTTTAGCTCATGCCCTTTGATCCAGGCAGCATCTTGGCAAACTGCTTCTGCACCCTCTCCAAAGCCTCCACATCCTTCCTGTAATGTGGCGACCAGAACTGAACACAATACTCTAAATGTGGCCTAACCAAAATTTTATGAAGCTGTAACATGACATTCTGACTCTTGTACTCAATTCCCTGACCAGTAAAG